ATTACCATCACGATCATATCAATGTATCATCATCATGTATCATCATCATGTATCATCAACATGTATCATCATCATTCTTATCATCATGTATCATCATTCATCATTATCATCATTGTCAGCATCATCATCATTCGTATCATCATGTATCACCTTCATCATTGTTTTGAGTTTTAATAAATGATTTTTATTGAATTTGATGAAATGTAAATGTTTTTATTGATATCAAAGTGTTAACTTCTACTTTATTGCAAAGTGCTTTTCTATGTATTTAATTGAATCATTGTCTTATGTTATTAATATTATAAAAATTTCAAAATTAAAAAAAAAGGTGAATGTCCTTATCTTTTTAAAACTGYAAAGCGTTATTGAACTCACGGATATTAACGCTAAAGAAATTATCAATTATTATTATAATATCATTTATCATCATTTATAATAATCATTGTCATTATCATCATGCATCATCACCATCATCATCATGTATCATGATCATTGTTATCATCCTCATGTATTTAGTTTAATTTAATTTACAGCTTTTATGACGCATTTCGCTACGTCTCAATGCGTTTACAATGTGTATCACAAAAAAACTATAATTAAGACATAAGAATTATAATATATATATATAGATAACTAGACTAAAATGTTATAATAATGATAATCTAAAACAAATTAATTAATATATATCAATCACCATCATGTATCATCATCATTGTTATCATCCTCATGTATCATCATCATTGTTATCATGTGTCATCATTTATCATAATCATTGTCATCATCATCATGTATCATCACCATCATCATCATGTATCATCATTGTTATCATCCTTATGTATCATCATCATTTTTATCATCATGTGTCATCATTTGTCATCATTGTCATCATCATCGATCATCATCATTGTTATCACCATCATGTATCATCATCATTGTTATCATCATGTGTCATAATTTATAATAATCATTGTCATTATCATGTATTATCACCATCATCATCATTGTTATCATCATGTATCATCATCATGTATCATCACAATCACCATTTTCATCACTATTATTCTCACCACCACCATTTCATCATTATTGTCATCACCAACATCATCATCCTCATATATCATTGTTGTAAGTATCATCTCGTATTTCTATCCTATTATCATTATTTTCCATCCCGTTATCATTAACCATTTATTATCTTTTCAGCAGCCGACATCCCTGAGTTTCCTATCCTTTACGATGTATTTATCAGCTACAGCTCAAAAGATGTTACATTTGCTACAGAAATCCAAAGAGAACTTGAACGTCAAGACTTCAAATGTTGCATCCACATCCGGGACTTTACACCAGGAGACACAATCATAAATAACATTTCTAATGCCATATATGGAAGTCGAGTAACATTAGCGATCTTATCTCCCGATTTTGTTGATAGCGAATGGTGTAAAGGTGAACTACAGCAGGCTTTAACACGGAGCATGCGCGATCATCGTGTTATTCCAATTTTATACAAGAACTGTCAAATACCTACAGAATTGCGTCATAGGACGTACATTGACTATGAGAACTGCTATGTTAAACCTTATTTCTGGGAACAACTGAAAAAGGCACTAAATCTTTTGAAATCGACTACGGAAGCAAGCGTTTGATGTTGTCAAAACACCTTCTGTTGTACAGAGGATGGAATATCGTAAAAGGTACTGACTGCATGTGGTGAAATCGACTGTGGAATCAAACATTTGATGTTGTCAAAACAGCTGTTGTACAGAGGATGCAATATGGTTAGCAATGAAAAACTCCTTTCGGAGACAACATCGTGTTCCAGAGATCGTTAAATTGAATAGGACGTTTTCATGATGGCGTCATTTGACTACCACTACCATAATGCTTCGCGAATTTTCTTTCTTATTTAAATTTGTATTCCCTCATGAGAATAGTAAGACAATTGGTACTAATTAACTGAACGAAAGAAAGTGTGCAAGGGAGTCTGGTAGTAGAGGTCAATGACGCCATCATGCAAACGTCCTATTGACTGAATTGGTCTCGTAGTACCCTGATGACGGGTATTGTCAGCACGTGAATATTCAGAAACTCTTGTAGATGCAGTGCACATGAGGGAACCTGTTAGTCCCGCTTTATGCCCCTGGCCTATTCCAAGCCGCCTAGCTTGCGACGGCAAGGACCTCAAGAAAGCTCCTAGCAGTGATACGAGCCTAAACGTAGGATACTTGCCATTAAAGATCATGATTCTAAGTTAAATAACAAAAATAAATTATGTGAAATAATAGTATATAGAATATTAAAATGATTTTGTGGAATTTAATTACTTTTTACTTATTCTCTATTAATTATTATCATTATTATCATCATCATCATCATCATCATCATCATCATGCAGTACTAAAACGTATAAATGCAAAAAATCTATGACCTGTATAGGGCGCACAGTGTAACCTATACAGTCTAAAAGGAAAGTAACTACAATAAATTTAAATAGATGTCCCTATAAAATCATTGTCTTTAAAAAGGTTCGGGAAAAAAAAAAAAATATATATATATATATATACACAATCAGTTATAATAAATTTCTAGCAACAACAACAACAACAAAAAAAACCCTCTATATTCTATAAATCTGTAACAGATTATATAAGATTATATAAAAAAAGTTCAAGCTTATATAACAGTTGCTTTAAATGTTCGTGCTATATGGAGCGAGTAAGAGATGATGGCTTTCTGCATCTTCTCCAAAACGCACTTTGATCGGGCACCAATAAGCTTCTTCATAGTTTGCTCTAGCTTCTTTGACCATCCTCCCAATGCATCAATTATGATATTGCATTGCTGTACCTTGTAACCAGGGTGCTGTTGTTTTAACTCCAAGAGTAGTGCACCGTACTTGATTGCCTTCTCCTCAACTTTCTTTTCACGATTCTCAATCCATGGACAGCTCATTTCTACTACCCAGACTTGCTTTGCCTTGTGGTCCACGAATCGTACATCCACCCTATTGGCTTTGACGTAGGTGTGTTCAGCATACACCGGTACATCCCAGAAAGCTTTAGCATCATCCGACTCATAGATAGGTTTTGGAGTCACAGGTGAGTACCAAGGGGGAACACTTTCCACTAATTTAAGATCTTTGCACTTCTCAAAGAATAATATCTTCAGAGCAGCATTGTGTCGGTCCAAGTTCTTTGATTGAGCCAGTGTAGAACATCCTGACAGAACGTGTGGAAGGGTCTTTGCTTCTTTACCGTACAGCCTACAACTTAGATCTCCCTGGGCTGTTTTGATCTTGTGTGACGTATACACTCTGGTTGGCAATAGTTGTTCATAGAGCTCCATCATACCAGCAACTGTATGAGTTGGTGCAGTCGTCCAATCTTTCATCCATGCAAAACATGCATCTTGACTAAGTTCTTTATCTTTCCAACGCGATGAGAGAAATCGACCATGCCATTTCTCTGCGTTTATCGTCTCCTGTAGCTTGTCTACCAGTGCTCTCTTCAAGTGTTCTTTAATTTTCGTTCC